TTCATTTCAGGATGTCAGACCTGGACTTTAAAGAGGACTCAGATGCAGAGTAATGACCGTTAAAGCAGACTTTATTGGGGATACTCTCCAACCTCCCAGACAGAGTGACAAAATCTATGCACAGAACATCAGGCAGGTCCACTTTGGCAGAGAACAGTTGTTTGTTGGCCTCAAACCACTCTGCTGCATGTCTGCAATCGTGAAGAATGTGATCTTCAACCGAGTCCTATGGAAAAGACAGATAAGCATTTCTTGTAACAACTTCAATCAAATATCTATATCTTTGCGGTCTCACTTCCAAGGTCAAAATTTTCCATAAGGATGATACACCACCACTGTCACAAAAGTGGCAACAACAACAAAAAACCTCACACTATGTCATAATAAATGTTTTGTTGTCATAAAGTCATAGGGGAGCATCCAGTGTGGTGTAAAGGGCATTCTAGGAATAGAACATAGTAATTTGAATTTAATGCTGATTTCTTTGACGCACACAGAATTACACAAATAATTAACATATAACAAATGATGTCTACTACCATCAACATGAAGACGCCACAGTCAATCCCGTATGGTTGTCGTGGAAAACCCTAGATGTCAGAAAGAAGTCAGTTATGTAATTATTATTTTACAGTATTAAAGTATTCAACTATTTATATATACATACATTATACGTACTTTCCACTCTTACCTGAATGTGTAATCCAGTTTTTTCTTGTGCAGCGTTCCACTGCAGGTATTCCACCCGATGGAATAACTGAATGATGCATCTAAAAAGAATATAAAATGTATCATGTGTTTGAATTATAGTACATGAACTTCAATTCAAATTAATGTATACAGCCTGCAAACTTAGATTGTCTTTGCTTACAGGTAAAATGGCCACTTACTTATGTAGAAGAAGTAATAATGACTACGAAAGTGCTTACTTAGGTGAAAGTGGATAAAACAAGACACTTAAGTAATTTAGTACGTTATGTTAGAAGCAAAATATACTTAAGTATTAAAAATAAAAGTACTGATGGTGCAGAAGCATTTCAGTTACTATTCGTTTTGTGTATATACTTGCACTTAAACAGGTGATATCATTAGCTGGTCGACCTCTGACAGAACATCATGGTGTGTTGTGTTGGTAGCTTGGCTGTCTCACATATCACGTTCGTGAGTTCAGAAAGACACGTTTTACTTTGTGACTGTGCCCACCTTATGCAAGGAGAGTTTACAAAAATGTACGTTATGCACTAAAAAGTTAAGAATCCTCAGGTGTTGATGCTAACCGTTAAAGTTAAAGTTAACTTTGAAGTCATCTAACTTAGCTTAGACAACCCAAACCCGACATGGAACATTCGGTAATTTGCAGCATTGACTTCTATAACACTATTATTTTACGGCACCTGTATTAACGAAGAAACACAAGAGACCATGCATTTACTTTCTGTGGATAATAACCATCTGCAACTCAACGCTACTCAGGGCACACGCTCACTCGCTGGTCTCTCGAATTAAAAGGCAGGTGAACATGTCCCTCTCAGAATGTCCTCCCCACCTGTCCACCCAAAACAAACGTCCTCGCTTCCCATCCTGACAGTGGAGGTGTCCTGACAGTGGAGGTGTCCTGTGTCCTGACAGTGGAGGTGTCCTG